ACATTGTTTATCAAGCCACTGTGTCGTCAAATAAATCTGACTACAAAGAAAAAGTATATTTTGGCTTATGTGAAACTCCATTCAAATCTCGGTATGCGAACCATCTAAAATCTTTTAACATTAACAAATATAAAAATGATACCGAGTTGTCTAAAGAAATTTGGGACATAAAAGACAAAATGTTTACACCCTTAATTAAGTGGAAAATTGTAAAACGTTGCAATACTTATAACGCCTCGTCAAAAATTTGCCATCTTTGCTTAGCCGAAAAATTCCTCATTTTAACATATAAAGGTGATAACTTATTAAATAAACGAAATGAGTTGATTTCAAAATGCAGAAACAAAAATAAATTCCTTTTATTTTTTTTTGACACCGAAGATTAGCTGATATTTTGTTTTTTCTTTGGTTGCCATCAAGAGTGTCTTAGCGACGTTAAGATCCCACTACACAGTATTTTGTAGTTTTTAGCGGGATTTTTGTTTTTGATTTTGTATTCAATGGCTGATGATTGCCGTATAGGCATAAAACTTAAAGTACCATAGAAAAAGTTGTTTTTTCTTCGTTAATATATATATGTATGTATATATATATATATATATATATATATATATATAATATATATATATATATATATATATATATATATATATATATATATATATGTATATATATATGTATATATATATATGTATATATATATATGTATATATGTATGTATATATATATGTATATATATATATATATATGTATATATATGTATATGTATATATGTATATGTATATATATATATATATATATATATATGTATATTAGGGTAGGTCGATTTTAATTCCGCATATTGCGTAATATTGCAGTAGTTGTAGACAGTTAAAATACGATTACTTCCAAAATTTGAGAGATTTTGGATAAAGAATCGCTTGCGGATTTAATTTTTAAGATTTGTTGGATTATGTAAAAAAACACCTTAAAAAGCGTTATATGCAAAACTTGACGTTTTAACTAAGGTCATATTTAAATGTTTTTTAATACTATTTGCTTTGCTGTATGATTTAAGTTTATAACAGTTTATAACAATTAAGCTAAATTTATAACAACTTGTTAACTATTTGAAGATTTAAATAGTGAAACTTTTATTCTTATATTTTCATAAGAATATCAAAATAAACATTATTTTCACAATTTAAAACATTTTGGATATGGATATATATATTTTAGGAAAACATTTTCAAATAAAAAATATCATCATAAAAATGGGAATAATGCCCTTTTGAAATATACGGTTTACGCATCTTAGTAGTTTAGTTAAAATGCAGCTGTGTCGATTCTCGAATCCATAAACATATTGGGATGCGTCCGACACAAGTTTTACCGCTTGCTCAACACTCTGGAAGTGAGATGGAAAATTGGGGATTTCAGGTTTAACATTATTGTCAATCGCATATTGGATTTGCTCAATTGAAAAATGTTGTGTTGTTGGGGACTCCATAAATTTAGTAATGCTGATATCTACCAATGATTAGCATTAAAATTAATTTCTGGAATTTTTTTCAAATTTACTTCCAAACTTTCGTTGTTTACTCTATAAATGTAAATCAAATCCAATTACCACATTTAATGTATCATTTTTTTTTCAAAACTTTATTTAATTTACTATAAAAAAAGACCTTTGCCTTAGACCCAGTAGGATTTGAAAACCAAAGTTTCGTATCTTGCTGTCATTATCTTTTAACATGGCATAAAGAATATTTTCAGGTTTTAGGCACAAAGCATTGTTTTTAATGTTTTTTTTAACAGTATGTTTAACATCATCAAAGGGGAGATTATTTATTCTAGTGATAGTAGAAAAAATAAGGCGCGAGATTTGTGAAATTTTGAAGATTTTTTTATATCAAACCACGCTGGAGCGTAAACCTGAACAATAAAACATACGAGTTTTTTTAAAGAAACAGTTGGTTGATTGTCTCTAGTATACAAACAGAGAAGGCGAATAGCTAGAGTTAACCACCTTGCATGGTTAAGCGGTCCAATTTTATAGGTGGCCCATTTATCAGAAACTTTACCAAAGCCTATTCCTTTGCAATATTCAAATAAAAGTCTTTGATCGCAACTAAGGTCTACTAGTATTTCTTCTGGAATATATCCATCTACAATTGGGTTTTCAATACGATTAAACAAAACTTGATTTTTATCCTGAATATTTTCAGCACATCTTTTGCCAAGTAGACCACTAAAGCTTCTTGGCCCAGTTGTGTCACCATCAAGTTTTACAAAAAGAGCTCGTAATGGAAGTTCATTTTGATGTAATGCGCATCCAATTAGATGTAGTTTTCTTTTTAAAAATTCTTCTAGTTTTACCACTAAGCCACTTATTGGTCCAGTATTGGTAGCAGTATTACCAAGAAGAACAGCTTGTATACTTTCCAAACTGTTATGTTCTTGTAAAACACTAAACGTTTCGGTAGCAAGAACTAAACCTGTAGCACCGGTGACAGGAATCGTCCTATGAGTCAAATAATTTCCACTCGATTTTCCATCTTCATAAGTAAATGTGAGGTGATGTTCAGGTTCAATGCATTTCTTTAGTACTTCTCTTTGAGGTAAGTTTATTACTATACTTGTTTTAGTTATTTGATCGAGCTTGCTGTCAACCCCAAGACAAATTAACTTTTTTTTTTGTTCTGAGTCCACCTCTTCACTAACGATTTTTACTTTTGACTTGGCCCTATCTAACTTGCATTTGTCAATCAAAATATCTTTAATATCAACGTCATTTTTCAAGAGATGTTTTATGTCATGTAGTAAAGCATTTGCAAGGGCTGCACCTACATTTGATGAACACTCATTTCTGACTAATTCCATTGCAAATCTTGAAAGTTTAACTAAGTTGTATTTTCCAATAGGATTATTTACTGGTTTCCATTCACCATCATCCTAAAAAGAGTTAATAAAATAAAACGCTTTCTGTTTCATCTGTTACAAATATTTCATGTATTTATAAAATATTTACCTCTGTATTGGTCAAACCACTTGTTTCTTCAATTAAGTTTACTTGTGCTATGAGGGATTCATCTTCATTAACTAGCTTATGAGGTATTTTTTGTCGTTCTTTATCAAGTCTTTGAATCCTTTTGACAGATAATCTATCGACGGAAGAAAGTTGATATGCACCTTTTGGACCAACTTTTTTCCTCTAATCACGAAGATAAGCTCTGTCTTCCAGAGGTACTTTATTACTTTGAGAACAAAGGCATACAATATGTTCTTCAATGCAATTTTCTTTATTACATGAAACTTTTCTGTCACTACAGGGAAACTAATGAACAGGAACACGCAGAAATATCAAAAAGTTTGTCCAAGTTTGCATCAAGATTTCTTTTAGCGCTTGCTTTTCCGTGCTTGCGATTAATATCCTTAACAAGTACAAGAAGATCTTTAACTTTCCTATTAATAGATTTGTCAGTTATAAGAGGTAATCTTGGGTTTACTGTAGCCCAAATTGATTTTATATTATTGCTAATTTGCTGAGTCACTAATACGATATCTGCATTTGGATTTATATGAATAAGATAGTAATAATACTTAATAACCTGTCTAAAAGTGCTTGGATCTGTCGTTAATAGTTTACATGGGCCGCCACAATATTTTTTTTCACTTTTTCCGTGTAATTGCAACCTTTACTTTCGGCATTTTTGTAGATTAATTATATATGTAAACTGTATTAAAGTATTACACTTAGAGTAATGGGCAACGGCGTGAGTTTTTAGTTGGGGCCAAAGCATCAAAAAAATCTAAAATATTAAAACTTTCTATTAAAAACCTGCTTTTATAAAAAATAAAGAAATAAAACTCTTTTGAAAAGATTTGGGGGCCATGAATTCAGGAAACTCAGGAATTGAGTAAAACCATTAGTTCCATCGAAAAGTATATTTTAATCTACTTCAGAAATTGCAAATCAAAACTTATGTAATATAAACAGTTTAAAACATTACTCTAGATATAATAACCATAAGTATTTTCCTTTGATATTAAAAGATTTCTTTAAATTGAAGTTTTATTTTTGAACCTACTTTTTAAAAAATTTAACTTTAAAATGCAAACAAGAAATTTAAATACAAAAAGATTTGCTAAGTTTAAATGCATGTAAACGATTTAGCGATAATTTATTGGCTTCTTAAAACAATTGCGCTTGTTTATTGGTTACTTTATAAACTCAAATCCGCAAGCCATTTTTAAACCAGGATACTTGAGATTTGGTAAAACCTCATTTCTAACCTAGACACAGTAACTGCAACTCAAAATTCAAAAAAAAAGCTCAAATCGACCTACCCTAATGTATATGTATATATATATGTATATATATATTTGTATATGTATATATATAATTATTTATCGAAATAATAATAATAATATATATATATATATATATATATATATATATATATATATTATATATATATATATATATATATATATATATATATATATATATATATATATATATATATATATATATATCATATAATTAATATTATCCTTTTCTTACATATTTATCTTCTCAAGGTCAAGGGGACACCAATTAAGTAGGCAAATTCATTTTTTTTTTGTAAATTGTTTTTCATCTTCTCAACCTTTTTAACTCTGAAGCAAATATTAAAGAAATTTTTTTATCATCTTCAACTTTTGTCATACATATTTCTGTAAATATGTATGACATTATATTTATTATTAAACATGTATGACATATATTAATATAATATATATATATTAATCTTTTTGTCATGTATGTTTTTGACTTTTTATTTTTATGTCTTGTAATTTTTTCACTTTTCAATCTTATTATTTTTAATCAGTTTATTAGTAAATTATAGCTTCAGAAGAATTACTATTTGTTGTTTTTTGAAAATATTCAATTGATATTTTAAAGTTAATATTTTACCCTATTTTATATTATTATTTATATTTTGGTAAAAGAAATAGTAATTTTTTTTTTCTTTCAGGTATACATGCCGTTTTACTAAATGATATGCTAGTGATACTTAAAAAAGAAGATGAAAAATACATTTTGAAAATGCATAGTGCTGTAAGACTTGTTAATTACTTTATATTATTGATACCTTTAATAACACTTAATACTTTTTATGCAAAAAACTGATGAAAAAATGCTGAAACAGTCTATGCTAATTGATGACATTGTGTCTAGCCTGGGCTTATAATGAAATAGCATATTATTCATATTGTGGATTAAGATTGACATTAAACTTATGATTGTATGAAAGTGTAAGTCCATATATTAACTAAGGTTTTCAAAACAATTCTATTTTTATCCAGTCTAGTAAGTAATTGTAAAGTTCTACTATTTTTACTGTTAGTTAATCAAAGCTAAATGTTTAATGCATTTCATTATGGTTCAAAATGTACTATTAAATCTCTTTTTCTTTTAGACCCATAATAACTGTTGGATAATTAGGAAAAAAATTTAAAAACCCAAGTTTAAAAATAAAGGGTTTTTGTCTTTCTTGTAAAATCAGGATTTGTGGACTTTGTTGCCTTTTTGTTGCCTTTCTACAGTTCACATATGATGGACATTAATTACAGCAATAAAAGTTTTTTTCTTGGACTTGTTATAACTAATAGTTACACAAAGTTTATTGTGAATAATTTGATACAGATGATGGCTTTTTTTTTTCAAAGATTTTTCTTATAACAGCTGTATTTATTTTCAATTTAGGTTCACAGTTCGCTTGTAAAACTTACTAATATAATCATTAGAGATGTTGCAACTGGTAATTCTGTTATATTGATTTGTATATTTTATATAACAAATTTAAAACTATATTATATAATTACTATGTTGCATGTAAAATATATAAACTATGTTGCTTTGTAAAAAAAGATATTTTTTAATTTCAGATATTAAAGCATTCTATTTAATAAAAACAACAACTGATTCAAATAATAAACAACTGAATAACTCAGCAAACCTTTATGAGTTTGTGGCTCATTCAACTCAAGCCAAAAAAAAGTAAGTTTTTTTTCTTTCTTTCTGAAAATTATTTCATTTTCATATTTCATTTCATTGTGTTTAAGTTCTTAAATTAAAAGACGTTTATTTTTTTAAATTAAAAAATGTTTAAGTCCTTAAATTAAACAATGTTTATTTTGTTAAAAGGTGGGTAGATAACATCTTCGACACTACAAAACTTGGTAAGCAGTTTTGAATTTATTTTTTATAAGGAAGAAGATTTATGAATAAGATTATTTATTTATGATTTTGAAGTATAAACTTGAAAACATGTAAAGTTTTAAATAGCATTTGTGTTAAAAATTTATTTTGAGAAGTGCATAACTAAAAACATTAACTAAAAATGGCAGTAGTAGTAGCCACTTTATTTTGTTGCTAACTTACTTATTTACTTTAGACCAGTATGCTAATTTTCCTCGACGTAATGGACTTGCATCTGTTAGTCCAACATCTCCACCAGTAGCAGAAGAAGACATTCATAAAAAAACCCCAGCTAACAGTGAAACAACAACTCTTCAGATCAGTCCACCTGCAAGTCCTATTTTGAATTCAGTTATTGAAAAAAGAGTTTTACCTTCAAAAGAACGAGCTGAAGAACTTACTCGTAGGGTTTTATTATTATACTTTTTTGTTTTTCTCCATTGGTTACCTTTTTCTTTTTAGTACAAGGAGAAGAAAAAATTAAATCTGATTTTCTTATAATTATGATAAAAATGATTATAAAGAAATTTTTTTAGGTGAGCTATCAGTGAAAGATGAAGAGATTAAAAGGATTCTACAAGAGAAACGCTGTATCATAAAAGAGCTTATGGTAAATTTTTTAAAATTTCATCTTTGAGACAATTTTTTAACATTAGTTATTCATATCAAATCAAACTTTTTTAGGGTGAGAAGATTGGAAATCAGTCAAATTATGAGGTATATACTCTTATTATTATTTTGAGGTACATATTATCATGTATGTATTACTTTGTTATTGTATATAAGTTCTAAACAATTATTTTAATAGAAAGTTTGTAGAGTATAATTGTCATTATCTATTATCATATTGTGTTTTATCATCTATTATCATAGAAAGTTTTTTTTCAATTAACTGAAAAAAAAAAAGAATTGTTTTTTGGGTTTATATTTTTATTTACTTATTCTTTAAGTTTAAATATGATATGTATGTATGTATTTACATAAATATGTTAATTTTAGTTTCCTAGTGATTCTCGGGAATTGGTACTTGCTGCAATGAATCAAGGTAGTTTTTATGTTTTATCATTTTATAAATGTACATAGTTCAAATAAAATGGTAATACATGCAAATATATTGCATTTATTATATCCAATCTTTATGCAAATATATTTCAAAAATTGTTTAATAACTAAATTTTTTTTATAGCCAATCACCTTACAGCCTTAGTAAATGAAATACTATCTCTTAGTAAAGAAATTTTTTTTATAGCCAATCACCTTACAGCCTTAGTAAATGAAATACTATCTCTTAGTAAAGAAATTTTTTTTATAGCCAATCACCTTACAGCCTTAGTAAATGAAATACTATCTCTTAGTAAAGAAATTTTTTTTATAGCCAATCACCTTACAGCCTTAGTAAATGAAATACTATCTCTTAGTAAAGAAATATCAGCAAGCCAGCAGGTATTGAATATTTATTTTTATATAATATCATTTCAATATACATTTTAACATTTTATATTTAAGCATTTTCTTGTACAGATTTCTTGTACAGGTTGTATATTGTTAATTGAAATTGGTTGTGTATGATTGGTTACTATTTTTTACTATAAAAACTGCACTGTATTAATATTTTTTGCTACCCACAGGGATTATCTTTTTTCGGATATTTCTTTAAAATTTTGTTTTTTCCGGATATATAGTTTTCTGGACATACATGTTAAAAATATATTTTTTTGTCATCAAATCAAAGCTTCATAACTAGTACAAATCTAAGTTTGCAATATAAGATTTAATTCATTTTGAAAATGCGTGCTTAATATCTCTAAAATATTACACCATTAAAAGACATGTTTAACTAATTTAATTTAAGGTTAACTAATTTAATTTAATTAGTAAATCATGTTGTGTCACCAACAAAAGTAGACCGTTTAAACAAAAGGTATCCCTGATCTGTTCTTAATTATATATTAGGGAGTTTCTAGCCTCTGTTCCACAGTATAGAAAAACGCTTTTCCAATTGGTTCTACAATATAAAAAAAAGTATTTCCATTCTGTTTATAATATAAATTTCTGATCTATTTTACAAAAAACTTTTTTAAAATATATGAAAAGCTTAAGAAGTACTGCAGTATCCTTTTAAAATGATTTTTAAACAAGTTTCTCCCTTTTTTAATGCTGTTTGATTTTTAAAATGTTTAGGTTTGGATAAAACTTTTATATATTTTTTTACCTTGTTTTTGTTTTGTTTTTTTTTTGTTTTTTTCCATTTTATGTAGAACAATATATAAAAAAATATATAATTTTGAAATTTTTTTTCAGGCAAATGTATCTGTGTCAGTTTACGCACTTCATGAAATACTATCATCTTTGCTTGTAAGTTTAAGTTTTTAACATCTTCACTTGTATATTTTTCTTGTAAATTTATAGTTTATCTTTAATTGTAAGTTTAAGGTCAAGGCCAGCGCGATAGTGGGGGGAGGCGGGGAAACAGTCAGTCAGCAAGACCTTTTTTTTTAGTCAGCAATTATTTTAATGGCACCCCCACCCCCAAGTGATACCTACTCGCACCCGCCTTTAACTGTTTATTAAAAGTTTTTTAACTTGAATGGTTTTTTTATTTTAGATTCAAACAGCTGAAACTTGTGGTAATCAATTGGAATCGTAAGTAACATTCGTACTTAGGATTCCCCCGTCCCCCATGTTGTGAGCAAAATTGACTGTTTTTATTATGTAATCAATGCGCATGCTCATCACTGAAAATCTAATTACGAAATCAAATTAAACAATTAATAATGATTTAAATGAGTGTGAGAAGTTCATTTTTATTTACAAAAATTATTAAAATATTTTTAAAAAAGTAATTCATTTTTAGAAAAATAAATTATTTTTTATCTAAAATTAAAAATCTAAATTTCCAAAAAAAAAAACTTAAAAATTTATTTTAATACGTGACTATGTTTTACACTGGTTTACTTTAGATTAACTTGATTTAACAGCTGTTTTTTTTTTTTACTTCTTCAGGTACTGTTAAACTTTTTAGTTTAAATTTATCTGAAAAAAAGTTTAATTTAAGTTGGTTACATAGTACCAAGTTACCACAACTCTACTGTAACAACGTTTCAATCAGAATAAATTCTTAAATCTAAAAAGATGCTAAATTTGAAAGCTCCTAAAATTAAGTTAGATATTCCGCAACGTACTTAAAAGAAGGAAACATCAAAACTGTTTCTATTTAAGTAGTTTTAAAAAGTTTGGTTTAATAAGATTTACTTTAAAATAAAAACATGATAAAACTAAATAATTTTCATGGTGATAATAAATAACGGTTACTTTCACAAATTTACAAATAATATGAAAACCAAACCATGCTCTTTCTTTTCTGTTTTTCAGAAAATCGTTTGTTGAAGAAAGTGAAAATTTTTATGAAAACACTAATAAATCACTTGATTTAAATGAAGATAAAAAACATTACAATAGTTTAGCAAGCGCATCGTACTCAGGTAACATTTAGTTGGTGCTTTAATGATAGTATAAAATTTACGTTTTAAAATTATCATTAATTATTTTTTTTTAGATGTTAGAAAGTCATCGAATCAAGTCATTCATTCTACTTTTCAGGTTTTTTATTATTTGTAAAGCATAGATTTGCTTATTTTAATAATTTATGCTAATTTTTTTTTTTTTTCCTTTAGTCAAACAGTTTAGGTGACATAAAAGAAGAATCCGCACCTTTGGTATGTACATTTTAGTCTTACTCTAAACGAATATTATTGAAGAAGTATTTTTGACTGTGGTGTATTGCTGACGCGGGATTGGGGAGTTAAAGCCTTTTCACTAATTTAAAAAAAAATAAAAACCTTTTTATTTATTAAAAATAGATAAGTCTTTTTGAAATAATCGCAAAATGTAAGTATGCGTCCGACACAGCATCTCTAAGAGCTTTGTCTCGTGATTTCCATATTTACGTTATTCATATTTTACAATATTTTATTTTTTAGACGTTAAGTCCATTTAAGATCTCAAGTAAGCCATCAACCGCTGATAAAACTATACCTTTAGACGCAGAGATATCACGTGGTAATACGATATAATAATTCATAGATACCATATTTCTCAACGATATATTAAATAAAGCGATTATCATGTCGTCAATTTCAAACTTGTTGTGAAAAGATTCGCACAAATAAGATGTAAATATCGATATGCGTATTACTTCACCGAGTGGGCATATTACACTCTGAAAATATGCATATAAGTATTTTTTGGCTTTATACTGTTAATTTATTTGTTGCCACATTTACAACATGGATTTTTTACAACCAAAGGAGTATTTAAAGAAATATCGTTTGTTTCGAAACTTTTTAAATTTTTGCATATAAATGATTTTTTTATCAAATGTATTATAGCACGTGTTTTTGTGGAAGAGTATTGCCATTCGTTATTTTTATTATGATTATTTCTATGATTTTAATGTGTTATTTTTTTGTATTAAAAAGTTTTCTCATATTTCCCTGAAGAAAAATGTTCGTATGTAAGTAAAAAAACTGCGCTTTTATATATTATGCTCTAAAATCTGTATTTTCCATTCATTATTCCATATTTTCTGTGCAGCAATAACTAACTTTAACTGTATTTTGATTGAAAAAAACCATTCATTTGATTGGTTAACTTATTCCAGTCTCTTAAAAAGTTGTGCTCTTAAAAAACTGTGTCCACTTTGTCCCTTTAACAAAAAAATGTCTTTTGTGATAAGCTTTGTTCAAGACTGATGAGAGAAGAAGTGACTCCTTTATACAAGACAAGGCTTTATACAAGTGAGAAATAGTATACAATTCTCACAATACAAGTGAGAAATAATATACAAAACTTTATACAAGTGAGAAAAAGTGATTCCTTTATTCAAGAAAGAATGAGAGTTAAAGTGTTAGTAGATTTTTTTAAGCATTGTTATTTTTAAACATTGAAAATATTTTTTTTGGCTTTAGTCGGCAAAATCAAATACGCCACCCCCTCCCCCCATAAAAATTTCTTCAGGACGGCCCTGCTTATATACATATGGGTATCAATCAATATTATTATCGTTCAAAGCGTTATAAACATTTGACAAATCTAAGTAAAAATATAGCACATCTAAGCGAGAAGCATTATCTAATACCCCTCAAGACATTATTTTAGATATATCAAAGCATCCCTTGTAGGCCTCGCACATTTTACACAAATCTAACCAAGCTATTTGATTTGTGATTTTAAAAATTCTCCTTTCATGACAAATCAAGTACTTTGAAAAATCCTCAAACAAAAAAGTGCAAATTTTTCAGGTCAAAAATGACCAAAAAAATTTTGCATATATTTGAAGCATGATATGTTGAAATGTTTACTTTACCTGTTTTATAATTTTTAGTCTAAATTAGTCAATAAACAATCTGGTGAAATCAATCAAAAGTATATAATTTGTTCTATTTTCAAGTTTAAAAATGCTTTCGGTACCATTTAGTTAATATTCTTTAAAAAAATGTTTAACTTAAAGTATATCTAGAGAACAAATTCTTAAAATCTGATTTCTTTTTTTTTTAACAAAAGCATTTAGTTTAGGGTAGTTTCTATAGTATAGTTTAGTTTAGGGTAGTTTCTATATTATTTAGTTTAGTTTAGGTTTCTATAGAAAAAACGTAAATCTTTTATTAAGCTTATACTATATTTTTTTGGTTCTTCATATTTAATAGGCTAAAAATAAATCTTTTATTTAAAAAAATGTCGATCTTTAATACAATATTTATCTAAATTTGATGCAATTTAGGTTCCAACCTTCTAAACCAAATATTATAGGAACTATTCAACGATAAAAGTTCAAATTTGGCTCAAATATTTGTTGTTAATAAGTTAAAAACATTCACCAAAATTATTGAAATACCAATATTTTTGCCTTATCGGGTGGGCAAGGAAAAATCCGGTCAACTTAAAAATTAGGATTTTTCTAAAACCAATTTTTTCTGTGTCCATCTGATATTCTATTGATAATTGCCTTATTATAACGAATGAAGACATTTGGATAACAGCTCATCTTCAGATAGACTAATAAAAATTGGCTTTATAATATCACTAATCCTTTTGGTATATTAATGTGACTAATAAAACTTTATCCTGTTGGCTTGTGTTTTTTAAACATACAACAAGTATGTTCCATAGTGTAACATCTCTACCGTCATTAGTGGATGATACTTGAGTTGCAATTTTTACTTCTCTTAAAATTTTATTATTTGGAAAACTTGCAGAATTTTCTTAAATTAAACTTTTCTTAGCTATGTGTTGATTATTTCTAAACTTATGTTTCTCTTTGTTTGACAATTGGATAGATTACCCATTATTTCAAATATATTAATAAAAAACAATAAACTTAACTATTTTTCAATAAATCATCTTGTAAAACAAGCTAATAACTCCAACTACTTGATAATAAAACCAGCTAATATAATGAAACGTGCATGTGTTTTAGAGTGTTTTTTAGCCTCATAATAATTTACAGAATAAAAAAGCAGATACAATATAATATGAGAAAACATATGGGAATCACAAATTAGTGTTTAAACATTAAAAAAAGAGTTTGTTTAGATGAAAAAGGAATGATTTTGCTAAGGAAAATTTTTTATTTACATACATGTAAAAGCACAAATAAGCTACTTATCATTAAAAAATTTCCAAAGTTTTTATATCAACATGAAAGAACAGTAAATTCTAAACAAGAAACAGTTATTGTAAATTTTTTTTGTTTTTTCATGACATTTTTTCTATTGGAACACAAAACCATTATATTATGAAAAAGATATTTCGAAATAGCTAAAAGTTTATTTGTTTTTAATGTTTTGAATAATAAGTTAAATAACGATTAGCCATTAAATAAAGAGTGTATTTATGTAATAAATAATGTGCATGTCCAAAGAGAGATAGGGAGTTGTTGAAAGTATACATCTACGTATATGGGGAGGGGTTCCTAAATAAGTTGTTTTACTGCGTACGTACTTTATGGATTAAAAATGTTTAAGTTTTCTTTGGACAGGTTATTAATAAAGTTTTTCTCTAATTTTTTTTTTTTTTTTTTTTTTGAAAACACATAGCCATTTTATGAAAATATAAATAGAATCAAAAAAAAAATGTTTTTATATATATGCATATATATATATATATATATATATATATATATATATATATATATATATATATATATATATATATATATATATATATATATATATATATATATATATATATATATATATATATATATATATATATTTTCCAGAGATAAGTTTATGTTTGAATGTTCCTGAGTTTTTAAAATCTAAGCTTTTTTAGCCTAATAAAATATTAGTTTTAGAATTGTAAAATTTTAAATTCTTTTTTTTACTTAAACGATCAAATTTTTTTTAACTAAGTTAATTTATTTTTTTACTCAATAATGTTATCTTCTAGAAGATAGCATTATTGAGTAAAAAAATAAATTAACTTAGTTAAAAAAAATTTGATTGTTTAAGTAAAAAAAAAGATTCGATGATTCAACGAAATGATTTGGAGATACAGAATAAGAGGGCAATTCAAATAGCACACCCTGTTAAAGAATTATCATTTTGTCCCTTTGCTATAAAAATCATGGAAGTTCTTTGTATAAATAGTTAAGTAAACTTTATTTGAGGTAAATTAATATTTAGTAGGTAAATTATTATTTATCATTTTTTAGGTAAAATAATATTTATCCTTTTGTTTCAATAGCTGCTTGACAACGGCGGATTATTAATGAGATCAAATTTTTTTGTTTTGTTTTTGATTACATTTTTTAATCGTTGTACAGCTTTATATAACCAATAATAAAAAAAAATAAGATAAACTTACAATGATAGAAAATATAACAAATATAAACTAGGTATCTGAAAGAAGATCGCGAGGATCTTGTTGTCAGAACCTTAAATAAGCATTTAACAAGGATAAGATAAAAGTAATAGGTACTTCAAAATTAAAATTCGGCAAAAAAAATTTTATTCCAAAGGTGTGGCGCTCGATAGGTAATACAAAATTGATTAAAGTTTGTTGGACAAAAAAGGTTCATTTAAAAGTAAAAAGATCTTTGAAGACGGCTAAGGATAAGTTATTTATCCACATATATACAAAACATAAAATATTAAATACATTTAACTCGTATATATTTAGAACTCTCATTTCAATAAAATAATGCTTCGAATGAGAGAAGCGATATGAAAAATTGATTTACTTTTTTCTGTACTTCTTAAGCAATATTGGCATAATTTAAATAACTATGTATAAATGAATAATTTTTATTAATATATACATACTTATTGAGAAACATTCTTAATGAGATAGATTCGTAATTTATATAGGATCCCAATGTTTTTAGAAATTTTTGTGCTTATATAATCAATATGATGATTTTAAGTATTGTTTTCTTCAAGATAAACACCTAAAAATTTTGTAACTAAATCTCTTTTTATTTCCTTTTGATCGTTAAAGATTTGAGGTAATTTTGATGGGAGAAATTGCTTTTTTGTAATCGAATGAAATAAAACCCATTTTGTTTCACCAGTATTCAAGGTTAACTTATGACACTTAAACCAATTAGATATATGTCTGAGTTCTTCGTTCACTGTTTTAATAAGTTCAGCAATATCATAGTTAGAAAGAAATAAGTTTGTATCATCTGCATACATAATGCTCGTTAGCTTTGAAGCTTTATTTAAGTCATTTATATAAATTGAAAAAAGGAGAGGTCCAAAAATTAAAGCTTGTGGGACTCCAGAGATTATATTAAGAAAAGTGGGTTGATAATCACTGTTAAATGGTACAAATTGTTTTCGGTTACATAGACAACTTTTAGATCATTTTAAAATTTAATTTTATATTCCGTAGTATTTGAGTTTATAAATCAAAATAATGTGATCGACCGTATTAAAAGCTTTTGGTAGATCAATAAAAATTCCTAGTGTATATTGTGATTTTTTGAATGATTTTGAGATTTCACGTACAAATTGGATAATTACATGTTCAGTTGAGTTATCTTTCTTGAAACCAAATTGATTGATGTAAAGTAGATTATTATCATGAAAAAATTTGTATATTCTGTTGAACATAATTTTTTCTTTTCAGATTTGTCCCCTTCTTTACAAATAGGAATAATTTTTGCAATTTTTGATTGTTCTAGGAATACACTTTACTGAATAGAAGCTCTAAAGTTTTTAAAAAGAACAACTTTAAGTTGTTCAAAGCATTCTATAACCACATTTCCATTATTTGATCTGCTCCAATTGCTTTGTTGTTGTTTTTAACAGATTTAAAGGCTCTTTCAAACTCATCACACATTAATTAGGAAGATAACTCATCTTAACAAATGCAATTATCCATGGGTTCTAAATAATCAGTAAACAAAAATTTGGTCTTAGGGATTTTTCCAGACAGTCTTGG